TTATGTTCCTTCAGGGACTGCTACATCTCGCACACGTGGGTACTCACACCACATCACCTCTCATGGATGGTGGTCATGGGGTTGCTAAGCTTTTCCTTCAGTTAAGGGATTCAAGGGAACCAGCAGTCAGCAATGTAAAGAAACAAGCAAAGGCAATGGGAGCAAAAAGACACAGGTTTAATGCCTGGAATGCCTTGCCAAGGGTGTGATGTTGGACAAGTTGGAAATACTCTCAAGCCCCTTTTCATTTATGTATGATTATTTTTCCTAAAGAAATAATTAAGGAAGTGGGTAGGGAATGATCCATGAGGATGTTTGCTGCAGCATGGATGATAATCTAGAATGAATGTGTGAGACATATATATGTAACTATATGCACTAAAATGGCAGAGAGGTTTTTAATGGATGCTCAAGTTATAAGATTGATTCTTAATTCTCTTTCCAATTTTACTTTTTGTTTTTACTATGAGCATGCATTACTTGAATAATAATGTTAAAGCTTATTTATAATAATGCAAATTCAGATACTAGTGTCCATCAGAATAGGAGAAAAAGAACTAATGTTATACCCAACAATTGCAAGGTTGGAAGAAAACAAGACTTCTTGTACACAAGCTGGAGTCTAAAATGGTTTCTCACTTTTTTGAGTCATCTAGCAATACACATTAAAAACGTTTAAACACCCACTTTCCTTTCACCTAGCAATTCAATTTCCAGGAATACATCCTAAGAAAGTATGAGAAAAGCATGCCACAGCACAAGTATAAGATGTTCATTCCAATTTTACTTACAATATTAAAAAGACCATGAGCAAATCAACATAAATACATACACATAGTCATGTGTCTGCTTAAAACCATAGAATCACACTAGAGTGTTCTACAGCCTTTTTTGTACTACTTAACTTTAATTAACAGATATCATTCTATATCAATACATGTTAATTTATCTAATTCTTCATGGGCTGCAAAACTCCCATGGTCTAGTTTTACTGTAATTCATATGAGCAAGTACGCTGCTGAACACACAGGCACTTTTGAGTTTTCACTTTTGCAACTGTTGTGTATTTACTGCAGTCTACTTGGATGAATATACCTTTAGGATGAGTTCCAAAAGGCAGATTGCTGGGAAAGGGTGCTTAGTGCATTACTAACTGAGAGACACTGAGAGTATTAGGAGTTTCTCATGAACCTCTAAACCTGCTTCCTCCCTACCATCTAATGGGGTGGGGACGGGTTGCACAAGCTGTTGGGGCTCAACAAAGACACCCCTCATGCACCCTCTACTGCTCTCTCTCTACAAGGCTGGATGTTGGGATTTCCCCCAACTTCAGGTGAGGGTGATGGTTGTGGGTAGTAACTCTCCCAGGTCCGGCCCATCCCCAGATCCACAGGGCTGGTACCCGAGGCCAGAAGGCCAGAGTACTCCCGACCACCATCGTCTCCCTCTGGAGCACACACCTGTGGTCAGCATGTAACCCTAAATCTTTCCTTCCTCCAGGTATTGGAAATGGGCCGAGTCATCATCCCACCCACCGCACAGCCACAGCTGCCACCTCACCACAGCTTTATCGTAGCCTTGTGTCTGTGCGTCCCGTTCACAGCTGGCCCAGGTAGCATTTCCCATACTTCTCCCATTGAGTTTCTGAACAGTCTGCACAGAGCTCACCTTCGGCCCATGCACCACCTGGGCCTTGACCTTGACACCTGCTCCACTTCACACTGGGCACAGCTGCCAGTTCCCACTCTTGATAATCATCTCTGTGGCAAATGGATGTACAAAAGGTACATCCTTTTTTTTTTCTGCTAACATGAGGAAGGGGAGTGTGGAGGGACAGGAGGGGATGCCTTGTGGCCCCCTCAGTGGACCTAGCAACACCATTATCGCCAAGCGTTAATTCTACCCAGAGTTGGGTGAACTTACACTGGGATTTAAATAATGACAAAGACAGTGGCACTGGCCAATTCTTCATCACTGAATTATTTGTAAGGAGCAGGTATCACTTGTGTCATAAAACAAAATGAAATGATATCTACAATCATCACAACGATACAAACAAGGGCTTGGGAGTACCCAATTGTCCTTGGTGAGAGAGCGTGCTCTGCACTAATACTACCTGAGGATGAGGTTACCCAGGAAGGCTTGCGGCACTGGGCAAGCCAGGGTTTCTTCTTCAGTTCAGACTCCAAGCTCTCACACAGAAAGGACCCCATCTTCCCTCTAACTTCTTCGCAGTGTCGTGGAGAAACTTGATCCTACTCAGAGAACATAGCTGCTGCATATAGACAAAGCCCCAAGGTCAGGGAGCTGGGCTGCAGATAGCCTTTCAAGGAGGTTAGAAGAAATGACTAAGAGCCAATGAAAGTGCTTTGCATGAGGAGAAACAGACTAAGGTTAGCACCCACAGTTTATGCTGATTAAAGACAATGTGAACTCAGTCCTTCTCAATAAATCTTTATTTCATACACATAAAAATCTGAGTTGTAGAAGCAGCTCCTGACTAGATATTAAAACTGGTTATCCCTGATTGGTGAGATCAAGGAAGAATTATATATTTATACTTGGCTCTAACTCTATAGCTTGTCTGTATGAGAGGATGGGGGAGAGGGAGGGAGAAAGGGAGGGATGTGGCAATTCTATTTTTGCCACAGGGATCTTTCTAACTCTCAAAGAATATGTGCTTCTCTAAAGGTAACCTGCAGGGCCTGGGAACTGTCCTGGACATGCAAGTACAGAAAAGGGTTTTTTTGGGGGGGGAGGGGTAGGGAAACGCCAGGCAAACTCCTTCCTGTCCTGCAGGTACCCACCTACCTTTGTTCGCCCAAAGCAGGAGCAGTGGGCTGCTGTCCTCCCCCTCCCCTCCCCTCCCCACACCCCTTCCCTGACAGCAGAGGACCAGACCACCTAGGTGATGTTGAAACCCTTTGAGGTGCACCAGGTGCAGAAGACCTACAACCCCGAGGGCTGCATTTTATCTGCTGGGTTACCCTTGGAAAACCAGATGTCTTTGGAGCCCTGGAAGCTCCTGACTTCAGGAAAACAAAGCATATTTACTATCTGAGAGGAGGGTTGGTGGTGTGGTAGTGCTGGTGAACTTTTCCAAAGCCTCCCATTTCTTCTGGGATCATGCTGCACATACGCAGTGCCCCATAACCGGCTGTTTCTAGTTAATAACGTGAGCAGCACCACTATGACAGCAAACATTCAGCATTCGTTTTGATGGACAGCCATATTTCAAACGTGCCTCGGTTTCCTTCTATAGCAAGTCCGTAACCATGCTTTTATAAATTAAGCTTCTTTGGAAGTCCCATGTACCTAAATCTTTGTTCACATCCAATATAGTTACCTTAACATAAAGTTCTAGAAGTAGAAATGTTGGGTCACAGGATGTTTTAAGGCTTATGTATTTGGATTTATTAATCCTTTTCTTTACATTTTCTGGATCCCTCTCGTGCTTAAAAATGCCTTTGTACTCTTTCAGGCCCTAAAAGCTTTCACTCATCTCTGGGGAGACTAAAGACTCTCTTGAGAGCCACTGAAGCAGCCTCACTGAGGGAAGAATTTGGAGAGTTCAATCAGGGATTGGAACGTCCTAAACACAGAAGAACTGAAAGATTTATGGTGTGGAGAAGGGAAAGACAAAGTCCCTTTTGGGACTGGGAAGCAACACTCTCTTCCAGGCAGGGCGGAGCCTCTACCTGGTCAGAGAGGGCTGCAACCACAGCCCACGTGACACACACATTACTGCGTCTGCGTGTGGGAGTTACCTTGCTTACCTCCGAGGCTTGGGCTTGGCAGGTGGAGACGACTCCGCAGAAGTCGCGTTTAAGTGGCAACGAAAGGTAGGTAGCATTTTCATTCCCTTTCTGATTCTCCACCAGGCTCTCAGCTGTCTCACAGCTGGTGTGTGAATAGATGTTAATGAGTGTGAGCCAGCGGGATTCGGGTGGGTGGGTGCAGCGCGATACTTGGCCTCCCGGGAGGAAGGTCCTTGAGGTCGTCGTCTTTCTCTCTACAGGCATCGTGGCTATGGCCCTTTGCGGTGGGGCGGAGCAATGGAGAACGGTGGGCCACAGAGGGGAGCGGGGCAGTTGAAAGTAGAGCGAGGCTTGGGGCCATTACTTGAGGTGTTTGAGCCTTGGAGGCACCAGAACTGCAGACAGACCACACATCCGTAACTCCTTGGTCCGTGGTGGGGGGCGGCGAAAGCAGCCCACGCGGCATACGCGAGACGCAGTGCACATGCCCAGTGCCGCGCGCCTTCCCGTCGGCCCTTGTGCAGTTTGCGTGCGTAGCTGTGAAGGTTGCGTCTTAACGTCTCGGTTCTTTCTGCTTGGTGAAACTCACCAGGTAGGTCCACAGATTTGTCCTGCCTGGAGTTTAAGTGTGCGTGCGTGTGAGGGGGAGCCAGCGGGCTTTGGGCGGGTCAGGCGGTGCCACCTACGGCCTCTGAGGAGGAAGGTCGTTGAGGTCGTCGTCCTTCTCCCCACAGGTGTCGTGGCCACCATAGCTCTCGTCCTGGTGGCAGGAAAGAGAGGGCAGTGGGCGGTGGAGGTCAGGGGGTTCAGATGAAGGTAGAGCTGAGTCATGGCGGCGTTATTTGCGGTATCTGGGTCCTGGAGGCCCTCCTGGAACTGCAGACCAGCACAGAATCCAGAGTCAGCAGTGGGAAGCTGGACGTGGCTGTATATTACAAAATCTCTCCATATTGGAGAGTTCGGGAGTGAAACTGAATCTCTTAAGTCGTATCTTTTTTTTTTTTTTTCAGTCAAGTACTTGAAGGTCCCTTCTCTGCCAAATTGGCTGTGAGAGAAACAAAGGGGTTTGCTGGCAGCCTTATTTGATGTTATTGGCAAGCAGGCAGTTATTATTAATTCAAGACTTACTTTGGAAATCTCAACAGATGTAAAAAAGAATTTCTAGTCAGCATGGTAATAGTTCAGTATAGTCTTTTTAAATTACATTCTTCAGTTCACCATTTTCTACTTTCAGTGTGAAATATGAGTGGACGAGTAAGATCAAGATCTAGAGGAAGGGGAGATGGTCAAGAGTCTTCCGATACGGTTGAACCTGTGGTTGTGAGTGCTTTAATATCTTACTTCCCTTGACAGAAATTAATAAAAGAAAATCGAAAAAGTTGTTGAACCAATTTAGATCTGTTGTATAAAGGGCTATCTTGCTGAGAATGGTTGAATGGTTGAAAAATGAATCTCATGACTGAGACATTGAGCAAGTAGACTTATATTCTGACATTGCCTGGATGTGTATGTTGATATGAGCCTGGAAATCCCCTCTATGACTTCCCTGTTGTGATTATTAATTAACAAGTAACACACAGCCCAGAAAAGATGAAAATGGTTTCCAGAATTATTGGTCCTTGCAGATAACTCCTTTCTTAGATTATTTCCTATATAGGAAGAGTAACTTTATTAAGAGTACTTATGGATAAAGATACAGGAAAAGCCTCTTCAGGTTGGTGATTAGTTACGTCCATGTAGTATGTATATTTGTGCCTTCTCTTGTTATAGTATTAATAACAGTACTTATTTGCACCTACCCTCTCCCAAGGCCCCAAAACTAGGTGGCAAAAAATCTCAACAAAAGGAACCAACAACTGAGAATGTGGATGTTGAACCTGGACAAGAGAAAGAAGGAGGAACATCTGTGGTTCAAGGTGAAGGGGGATGGAGAGACAATTTGTATTTCATTTATGATGTTATACTGGTAACAGGTATGAAGGGTTCCCTGAAAATTGGCTGGAAACCTGTTTGGTAAGGGAAAGGTATAGTTTGCAGCTGACTGCAGTCCCTCTCTGTGATAAGTTTTCCCTCTTTCAGCATTTTACCCACCTATGTTTTAAATTATTTGACATTCTTGGAAAATACGGTCCTTGCCAAGGCTCTAAATTAGCAAATCAAAGGAAGCAACATTAAATGTAGACAAAATTATACACTATTTTTCTAGTTAAACTTGATCTTTTTGGAATGTTGTTTTCAGGGTTAAGTCATTGCATCAAAAGTTTGAGCAAACCTAGATATATTCTGGTTAGCTCTTACATTGTAATTTAAAATTTTTTTCATAATGCAGAGAAATAAAAAATGAAATCCATTCCTAGTTGCTGTTAAAGTCTTTAATATTTTTGTCTTCCTGAGCCATAATTTAGTTGTCACATATTCTTTTTAACTTATTACTTAGAAAAGTTTTTAAAAGTACAGAAAAGTTATAAGAAAGCACAGTGTACTTCCGTATCCTCTTTACCTTGATTCAGCAATTGCTAATATTTTGCCATATAGTGTCCTTGCTTTAGGTATTAACATACATATTTTTATTGCCAAACCATTTGAGAGTAAATTTCAAATACAACTCTTTACTCTCTAAGTAATTCAATAAGTGCCTCCTAAAATCAAGGGTATTCTCTTACATAACCTAGTACAGTGATCAAATTCAGGAAATTTAACATTGAGAAAACATGATTATCTAATATGTAGTCAGTTGGTCTAGTAATGTTTTTTATAGCATTATTTTTTCCTGATCCAGGATCCAGTCCAAGACTACCTGTTGCATTTAGTTGTCATCTATCTTTGGATTCCTTTAACCTGGAAGTGTACCTCAATATTTCTTTGTCTTTCTTTGTCCAAAAGATTGACATCTTTTGGAGTCCAAACCGGGTGTTTTGTAAAATTTTCTTCAGTTTGGGTTTGTCTCATCTTGCTAATTTTTTTTTTTTCAGTATGCAGGCCTCTCACTGTTGTGGCCTCTCCCATTGCGGAGCACAGGCTCCGGACGCGCAGGCTCAGCGGCCATGGCTCACAGGCCCAGCCGCTCCGCGGCATGTGGGATCTTCCCGGACCGGGGCACGAACCCGCGTCCCCTGCATCGGCAGGCGGACTCTCAACCACTGCGCCACCAGGGAAGCCCCATCTTGCTATTTTTAAAGACTTTTTTTTTTCACTCATTTATTGAGACCTGCTTGGTGGCAGGTAATGTACTAGGTGCTAAGGATGTAAATACAAATGAGAATGATTTCTGTCTTGAGTTCACAATTTCTATCTTGAGTTTCTCTTGTCAGAGAAATTCACGTAAACAAATAGCTGATCTGATGAGATAAGTGCAATAATAGACGTGTATATAGGTTACAAACGTGACAACTAAGTTTGTTTTAGTTTTAGAAAAAAACATGCTTCATAGAGGAGGTAATATATGAGAAACACAACTTCATTTTCTAGCAAAAAACTCTTTAGTGCTCATTGCATTCTTATGCATCACATTTATTATAATACTAACCTACAGTGCTTTATTTAATAACATTAATTTATGGTTTACCACTTATATTAATAACTCTCTATTTATATCAACCTTAATTGGAAGGTGCAAGCCAGGAAATGGGTCTGGAAAAGACTAGGGGTGAGCACGGAGATGACCCTGATGTGAAGGGGAAGATTCCACCTAATCTAGTGCCTGCTAAAATTCCAGAAGCAGGTATGTTATCTATTAAGATTGCAAGTCATGGAGTAGTTGTTTTCTACAATATTTTTATACTTTAGTAGCAAATCGCACACACACAGATTATTTGAAAGGTAGTTCTGACACCAAATGCTTGATTCAAAGACAGTATCAGGAAGAAATGAATTGTCAAGTCCATATTGTTGAATTATAAAACATGAAAGTATTATTACTTTGGAGTAGAAGTCCTTTAAAACCCAAAGCAAATGGTCAAATACTTTTTAAAGTACATAAATTAACGTACCCCAGTGCTAATTGGATATCTAAACAATACAATAGTATTGATGTTTTGTTTTGTAATTTGCCAGAACTGTTTCTCAAAAATCACTATCTTTTAGATGCCAAAAAATGATATGGATCTGTATGTTTTGGCTTTTCCAGGTTGGTTTGTTGTTGTTGTTGTTTTTGAAATTGTGAGCCAGGCTGAGAAGTGGTAGTATTTTTCCTCACATTTTAATGTCATATATGATGGTCGTGGCTTAAAACTAGTGTGACCATGTAATTTTTATCATCCAAACTGGGATACTTTTGAGAGTTAAAGGGAGTGCCACTACTGCTTACTCCAGGACAACAAGTGTGAATGGAACAAATGCCACCTTTCTATATATAGGTCATACAAAGGTTGAGCTGGATCATTGAAGTACTTTTGCACAAAAGAGACAAACCAAATGGAATGCTGTTCTTTGTCTTCTCTTTGGACAGTTCCAAGTATGACATTATTATTTGAACTAATATATGTAATTAGAAGGATACTTAAAGTCGGTGCATTTGAATAACACTGGGTTTGCTTGCTTGTTTTACTTCTTGGAGTTTTTGTTAGGTTGATTTTATTTTAACTGAAATCACTGGCAGTTTTTGTTCTCTACTTAAATTATCTTTAAATAGGCTCATAGGATTTAATTTGTTCTGGGCTTGAGAAATCTATGTTTCTTCATACCACCAAAAAGAATGATGCATTAAAAAATTAGTGCTCATATGCCTGAAAATGTACATGTAGCTTAGAAGCCTGTGCAGTTGTTAGGGTTCTGGTTTTAGTTTCATGTTATAAAACCAAAACTGTAGTGTCCTTTGTGTACCTTTTTTATTGTCTAAGTAAAGTTCTGCTAAGTAATGTACAACTGTCATGTTTATGTTTTAGGTGATGGACAGTCATAAGTTAAAAAGAAGACAAGCTGAAGCCATAAATGCTGTTGTTATATTGATAATTTGGCTTGTTAAATTCTCTCAATAAAGTTTTACAGTTTTCTCGGAAGAAATCATGCCCATCTTTGGTTCAGTCTATTCCTAGGAACTTGATACTATTGTAAGTGGTATCTCAAAAGACTCTTCATGTTATGTTTAGAGCTGGTCTGTAGAAGTGCTATTTATTTTTGTATAATGATTTTATGTCTGGCAACTTTGCTAAACTTATACTAACAGTTTATGTCTACATTCTTTTGGATTTTCTACATACCCAATCATACTGTATGCAAATAATGACGGTTTTGTTTCTTCCTTTTAAATCTTTCTACCTTTTGTTGCCTTACCTTATGACACTGGCTGGACCCTTTCAGTACAGTGTTGAATAGAAGCGATGACAGTAGACATCTTTGTCATATTCCTGAACTCAAAGGGAAAACTTTCAACATTTCACTATGATGTATACTACAGGTTTTTATTAGATCTCTTCTATTAGATTAAGGAAGTTCCTTTGTATTCCTAGTTTGCTAGGAGTACTTACCATGAATATTTGTTGAGTTTTATCAAACACTCATTCCTCGTCTATTGAGGCGATCTTACGATGTTTCTCCATTAATCTGTTAATGTGGCATTCCTAGAAAAAAAACCCAATTTGAGTCATGATATATTGTCCTTTTTCTGTATCGTTGGATTCCTTTTCCTAATGTTTTGTTTAGGATTTTTGCATCTTTGTTTATGAGTTAGATTGGCCCATAATTTTTTTTTTTTTTTTTTTTTGCGGTACATGGGCCTCTCACTGTTGTGGCCTCTCCCGTTACGGAGCACAGGCTCTGGACGCGCAGGCTCAGCGGCCATGGCTCACAGGCCCAGCCACTCCGTGGCATGTGGGATCTTCCCGGACCGGGGCACGAACCCGTGTCCCCTGCATCAGCAGGCGGACTCTCAACCACTGCGCCACCAGGGAAGCCCTGGCCCATAATTTTTTAATGTACTCTCCGTATTGTTTTTTTAATTAATTAATTAATTAATTAATTTGGCTGCACTGGGTCTTAGTTGTGGCACGCGGGATCTTTAGTTGCAGCATGCAGTATTTAGTTCCCTGAACAGGGATCAAACCTGGGCCCCCTGCATTGGGAGCACAGAGTCTTAACCACTGGACTACCAGGGAAGTCCCTCCATATTGAGTTTTGATATCAAGGGTTATTCTAGCTTTATAAAGTGAGTTGATGTAGATAGCTTCTTTTTCTATTTCCTGGTAGAATTCATCTAACATTGGAAATATTTCTTAAATGTTTGATAGAATTTGTCAGTGAGGCCATCTGGGCCTGGAGTTCTCTTTTTAGGACAGTTTTTAATAATGAATCGATATCTTATTTTCTATTCTTCAGTCAGTTTGGGTAAGTTTTATTTTTATAGGATTTTGGCTATGTTATCTAAATTTTCATTACACGAAGTTGTCCATAATGTCCTCTCATTATCCTCTTAATGTCTGCAGAATCTGTAATGATACTGCCATTTTCATTCTTAGTACTGATAAGTTGTGCCTTCTCTCTTGCATTTTAAATCAGCCTCACCAGAGGTTTACTGATTTTTTTTCTAGTCTTTTCAAAATAAAACCAATTTTTGGCTATGTTGACCCTATTCTGCTTCATTTCTCAGCTTTATTATTTCTTTTCTTCTTTATTTAATCTGCTGTTCTTTTTCTAACTCTTTAAGATGTTCAGCTCATTAATTTTCATCCTTTTAAAGATATACTTTAAAATTATAATATTATCTCTAAATAGGTTTTGATATGTAGTATTTTTGTTACTCAACTCAAAGTATGTTCTAATTTTCATTCTGATTTCTTTGGACTTTGGATTACTTCTAAGTGTATTTCTTAACTTTTAAACATTTGAGCACTTTCTAACTTTTTGTTATGCGGCACAAATAACTGATATAACTGTTTAGAAGAGATACAGCTAAAACATAAGAATTCAGAAAAGTTGAAAATAAAAGGATGGGCAAATGATATTCTATACAGAATAACTAAAAATAGGCTTTGAGATAAATAGGCATTTCTAGAAATAAGGGATACCTCGTATAGAAAAATTGAATTTATCAGGAAGATTTAACAGTTTTAAATATGAACCTAATAGCATGGCTTCAAAATGTGATGGAAAAATTGGCAAAACCACAAGGAGAAATCAGTAAGGATATGTAAGATTTGTATGTCGTAATTAGCAAATTTTATCTAATGGAAATATATAAAACTCTGTATTCAACAACATATTCAATACATACTCCTTTCAGTGCAATTATGTGTGAGAGGATATACACTGTATTTCAGTTATTTGGAATTTGTTGAGATGTGTTTTATGACCCAGCATATGGTCAATTTTTGTAAAATATTCCATACGTGCTTGAAAAGAATGTGTATTCAGTTGTTGAATGTGAGTGGTGTACTCTGCCTAACTTCATGTTCCTGTCCTGCTCCTACACCTCACAAGATTTTAGTGCTGTGGTCCCCTTGCCCTGACAAGGCAAGGAACCCTTGGGCAATGGCTCAAGTCTTGCTGCCTTCCTCAGCCTCCACTTGGCCTACAGGAAACTAGTTCATTCTTTTCATACTCACATAGTGGTAGTAGAGCATGTTCCTAGGCTGTGGTTTCTTTTCTCCCAGCTGTCACTGGCAGCTCTACAAGCCTTTCTCTCTGAAACTTCTCTAGGCTAAAACCAGGTTCCTGTTTCCAGGGGATATACTTCAAGCTCTAAAAACTTGGTCATCACATTTCATTCTGGTTGCAGCACTAGAATGGGTTTCTGATTTTCTACAACTCAGTGAGCATACAGCTGGTGGGATGCCAGCCTTCCCTTTTAAATATATTTCAAATGGCTATCAGTGTATCTCTTGGATCCCAATTCATTTGGTTTCAAATGGGGTGGGTAATTTACCCTCCCTCCAACTTAGTGTAGAGAGGATTCATTTTACATCAGCCCTCACTAAGTTGACAACTCACAATTTAGGTATTTTATTTCAACAAATCCCTGTTTAAGGACTTTTCAAACTTCTACTCATCTTGTCTTTATGTAGACTGGCTAGGCTAGCAAGGTGAGGAGATGTATTATCTCCTGCTCTTTAAAATGTGTTACTTATTGCCTATTGTCTTGTTGTCCTGTTGTCAGTAGGCATTTGGATATAATGAATTTAGTAACTTTGAAATTCATTAAGGTTATAGATAGCATTTGAAGCTATGAGTCCACAGGAACTCATCTAGGGAGAGATTACATAGAGAGAATAGAGCCACAGGCAGGGCCTTGGAGCACTCTACAAAAGGTAGAACCTACAAAGAAAAGGATTGAGAAAAAGGACTGCCAGAGAGGTAGGAAGAAACTAGGTGGGGTATCAAAATCTAAAGGAAATAAAGTGTTTAAGGGAATAATAAACGGTCAACAATTTGAAATGCTGGTGAGAGGTCATGCAAGAAAGGTATAAGGAAATTTATGGTTAGTTTGGCAAGACATGTCACCAGAGACCTTGATAAGAGCCATTTTAGTGGGAGTTATAGAGAGAAAAGCCTGACTGAAGAGGATTAAGTGAGAATGGGAGGTGAGCAAGTGGAGATAGTAATTATAGAAACGTATTTTTTATTGAGGTACAGTTGATGTACAATGTAAGTTTGAGGTGTACAACATAGTGATTGATGATTTTTAAAGGTTATACTCTGTTTATAGTTATTATAAAATATTGGCTATATTCCCTGTGCTGTACAATATATCCTTGTAGCTTATTTATCTTATACATAGTAATCGACATCTTTTAATCTCCTACACCTATCTTTCCCCTTCCCACTTCCCTCTCCCCACTGGTAACCATTAGTTCTCTGTGTCTGTGACTCTGTTTCTGTTTTCTTATATTCACTAGTTTGTTGTATTTTTTAGATTCCAACTATAAGTGATATCATACAGCATTTGTCTTTCTCTGTCTGACTTAGTTCACTAAGAATAATACCCTCCAAGTCCATCCATGTTGCTGCAAATGACATTATTTCATTCTTTTTTATGGCTGAGTAATATTCCATTGTAATTATATACCACATCTTCTTTATCCATTCATCTGTTGATGGACACTTAGTTTGCTTCTGTATCTTAGCTATTGTAAATAATACTACTATAAACATTGGGGTGCATGTGTCTTTTCTAATTAGTGTTTTCATTTTTCTCTGTTAAATACCCAAGAGTAGGATTGCTGGATCATATGGTAGGTCTATTTTTAGTTTTTTGAGGAACCTCCATACTGTTTTCCGTAATGGCTGCACCAATTTACATTCTCACCAACAGTGAAAGAGGGTTCCCTTTTCTCCACATCCTTGCCAGCATTTGTTATTTGTGGTCTTTTTGATGATAGTCATTCTGATAGGTGTGAGTTAATAGCTTATTGTTTTGATTTACATTTCTCTAATAATTAGTGATGTTGAGCATCTTTTCATGTGCCTGTTACAAATCTGTAGGTCTTCTTTGGAGAAATGTCTGTTTAGATCTGCTCATTTTTTAATTGGGTTATTTCTTTCTTAATGTTGAGTTGTATGAGCTGTTTATATATTTTGGATATTAATTCCTTATCAGTCATATCATTTGCAAATATTTTCTCCCATTCAGTAGGTTGTCTTTTGGTTTTGTTGATGTTATAGAAATGTATTTTGAGGAGCTTTGATGGTAAAGAAGAAGGAAATGGAAGTTTAGCTGGGAGGCCGGCACAAGGTCAAGGGGGTATTATTTTTTTGTAGAGTGATATTAAGGCATGTTTGTGTGCTGGTGAGAATGGTCCAGTAGACGATGGAAGGATAAGGCCATAGGGGAGGTATCCAAGCACGATTGGAGGGGTTGGCTATGGATAGGAACAGGACACCTTTCCACAGTAACATGAAGGCTATGTAAATTTCTCTGAGTAGAGGAATGGGTAAGATTAGAAAGCAGACAGGAGGACTTCTACTTTT